GCGCCCCCCGCCGCCCCGCCGCCCGGCCCTGCGGCCCGGGCCGCGGCTCTCCGCCGTCTCTTGGGTCCCCAGGGCTCTCCCAGGGCCCCGGGGCCGTCAGAGAGCGACGCTTAGGCCGGGCATGTCCCCCTACAGTCGGATGATCGACGAAAAATAAAACATAGTCAAAAGATACCCTGAAAAAGCTTAAATATACTAAAAAAGTAGTCCCCCGACAATTTTTGACTATTTTAGAACGCTCCCCCCTGTAGAGGGACAGGCCCGACTTAAAGCGACGCTCACAGGGCGCGCTCCACTGCGTAGCCGCGAAGTGGCTCCTCACAAACCAGGGCTGGACCTGAGCGTTGTTTCGCTGGACTTCGGCTGTGTTCTTTGTTTTTCGTTTTGGCAGGGGGTGGACAGTGAAACAGGCAGGGCAAAACGAACAACATAACGAACACGAAACGAAAAACAACGGTTAGGCCCGGCCCTGACACAAACGTTCCAAATACAGTTCGCGGGCGAAGGAACGGTATGACATAAGCTTTTCCATCACTGGGGGCGTCTGTCCCAGGGCGGCTGGAAAGTTTATACCCCTACTGTGGCAAGTCAGGGTGTAAACTTTCCAGCCGCCCTGGGACAGGCGCCCCCGGTGACGGAAAAGTCTATGTCATACCGTTCTTCGCCCGCTCAAACGCGTGTGTGCCCCACGGTGATGGATCGCGAACTCCCCGCGGCGGATCCAGGCCACTTGTGAGCAGTTACTTTGCGAGTCGTGGCGCGCGCTTGTCTAGACTTAAGTCGGGCATGTCCCTCCACAGGAGGAATATTCAAACGTAGCCAAAAAATAGTATGGGGACGATTTGTCGGTTACTTTTTTTGGCTACGTTGGAGTATTCTCTGACCATTTTCCATTTCTCCTCCAAAATCTGCCTGTAGGGGGAGGTGCCCGACCTAAGTCCAGACTCGGGAGGAGGAGCTGGCCCTGGGGGTCTCGTAGAAGAGGCCCACTCCAAGCCAGCGTCGTACTGCAAGTTCTGAGCAGTAACTCGTGGCGGATCGGGTGGTGGTCGTGCTCTCGCACTTTCTGCAGTCACGTCGCGCAGCTCACTCCAAGGGCTCCCCTCCGTGGCCGCCAGAGGTCCCGGGGACGGCCCTCTGGCCCTGGGGGCAGGCCCCCGAGCTGGTCCGGGGCCCGCCTGCCCGCGAGGGCCCGCTCCCCGCGGGGCCCGCGCGGCCTCCTGCGCGCACCCTCTCCGTCCCTCCCCGGCGCCTGCTGCCGCTCCCGCCCCTCGCTCGCTCCCCAGGCATCTGCACGGGCTCGTGCCGCTCGTGCGCGAGGACTGCCCTTTGCAGTCCCGTGGCGCTGCTGTGCTTTTGACCTGGGCTCGACGTTTTCGGCGTGCGGCCGCCCTCTTGTTTCCTCTCGTGCTCAGCTGGCGCGGATTTTTTTGCGTTCCGGTCCCGGCACGTCGTAAAACAGTAAAGCAGTAGCCTGGAGACGATGTTTCGACTTTTCGTCGATCACTGTCTTGCACATTTTTTGGCATTTGTTTTTATTTTTTCTCCAAAATCCGTCTGTGGGAGGACCAGCCCGACCTAACCTTAAGTCGGGCCTGTTCCTTTACAGGGGGAATATTCCAGAATAGTCCAAAAATAGTCAGGGGACCATTTTGTGAGTATCTTTTGACCATTTGGGAGTATGTTTTGAGTATTTGTTATTCTTCGTCGAAAATCCCCCTGTAGGGGGACTGGCACGACTTAAACCTAACCCGAGCCCCTGCCTGCCCAGCGGCGCCCCTGGCCGATCCCCCCCCCCCCCCCCGCCGAGTCCTCGCTGCCCGCTCTGGAGGCCCTCAGAAATGGGCCCCGTAATTGGGCAGCCCCGGCGCGGTCCAAGAAGGGCCTCCAGGACGGCCAGGACGGCACAGGATTACCAGGAGGGAAAAAGCACACAGACACAATTAATCGTCGACTCCCAGGAAAATATGGGAAAGTATGGGAAGTGGGGGGGAAGACGAAGACCCAGAAAATATTGGAAAATATGGGGAATCCTGTTATTAGTGTGTATTTTTTTGTGTGTCCCAGGGCCCCTTCAAATTATGTCGGCCATGTCCCCCTACAGGCGGATTTGGGACAAAAACAATATTCAATATTCAATATATGGATTATATATATATATATATATATATATATATATATATATATATATGTATATATGCATCCCCAAACGATCAAACATAGTCCAAAGGTAGTTTCCAGACTATTTTTGTTTGTTTGTGTCTATTTTGGAGTGTTCCTCCTGTAGAGGGACGCGCCCGACTTACGCCCGGGGCGGGCCCCGAGACGGCCAGGGGATGGGCTCCGAGACGGCCAAGAGGGACCCCCGTGGGGCCTCTCCAGGGATGATCCGACTTGCCCCAGCGCGGTCCAAGACGGGCCTCCAGGACGGCCAGGACGGCCCAGGAGGGGCCCCAAGGCGGCCAGGGGATGGGCTCCGAGACGGCCAGGATGGGCCCCAAGACGGCCAAGATGGGCTCCCAGGCGGTCCGAGGTGGCCTCCAGGACGGCCGGGAGGGCCCAGGAGGAGCTCCGAGACGGCGAGGGGATGGGCTCCGAGACGGCCAAGAGGGACCCCCGTGGGGCCTCTCCAGGGATGATCCGACTTGCCCCAGCGCGGTCCAAGACGGGCCTCCAGGACGGCCAGGACGGCCCAGGAGGGGCCCCAAGACGTGGGGCCTCTCCAGGGATGATCCGACTTGCCCCAGCGCGGTCCAAGACGGGCCTCCAGGACGGCCAGGACGGCCCAGGAGGGGCCCCAAGACGGCCAGGGGATGGGCTCCGAGACTGCCAGGATGGGCCCCAAGACGGCCAAGATGGGCTCCCAGGCGGTCCGAGGTGGCCTCCAGGACGGCCGGGAGGGCCCAGGAGGAGCCCCGAGACGGCGAGGGGATGGGCTCCGAGACGGCCAAGAGGGACCCCCGTGGGGCCTCTCCAGGGATGATCCGACTTGCCCCAGCGCGGTCCAAGACGTGCCTCCAGGACGGCCAGGACGGCCCAGGAGGGGCCCCAAGACGGCCAGGGGATGGGCTCCGAGACGGCCAGGATGGGCCCCAAGACGGCCAAGATGGGCTCCCAGGCGGTCCGAGGTGGCCTCCAGGACGGCCGGGAGGGCCCAGGAGGAGCCCCGAGACGGCGAGGGGATGGGCTCCGAGACGGCCAAGAGGGACCCCCGTGGGGCCTCTCCAGGGATGATCCGACTTGCCCCAGCGCGGTCCAAGACGGGCCTCCAGGACGGCCAGGACGGCCCAGGAGGGGCCCCAAGACGGCCAGGGGATGGGCTCCGAGACGGCCAGGATGGGCCCCAAGACGGCCAAGATGGGCTCCCAGGCGGTCCGAGGTGGCCTCCAGGACGGCCGGGAGGGCCCAGGAGGAGCCCCGAGACGGCGAGGGGATGGGCTCCGAGACGGCCAAGAGGGACCCCCGTGGGGCCTCTCCAGGGATGATCCGACTTGCCCCAGCGCGGTCCAAGACGTGCCTCCAGGACGGCCAGGACGGCCCAGGAGGGGCCCCAAGACGGCCAGGGGATGGGCTCCGAGACGGCCAGGATGGGCCCCAAGACGGCCAAGATGGGCTCCCAGGCGGTCCGAGGTGGCCTCCAGGACGGCCGGGAGGGCCCAGGAGGAGCCCCGAGACGGCGAGGGGATGGGCTCCGAGACGGCCAAGAGGGACCCCCGTGGGGCCTCTCCAGGGATGATCCGACTTGCCCCAGCGCGGTCCAAGACGGGCCTCCAGGACGGCCAGGACGGCCCAGGAGGGGCCCCAAGACGGCCAGGGGATGGGCTCCGAGACGGCCAGGATGGGCCCCAAGACGGCCAAGATGGGCTCCCAGGCGGTCCGAGGTGGCCTCCAGGACGGCCGGGAGGGCCCAGGAGGAGCCCCGAGACGGCGAGGGGATGGGCTCCGAGACGGCCAAGAGGGACCCCCGTGGGGCCTCTCCAGGGATGATCCGACTTGCCCCAGCGCGGTCCAAGACGGGCCTCCAGGACGGCCAGGACGGCCCAGGAGGGGCCCCAAGACGGCCAGGGGATGGGCTCCGAGACGGCCAGGATGGGCCCCAAGACGGCCAAGATGGGCTCCCAGGCGGTCCGAGGTGGCCTCCAGGACGGCCGGGAGGGCCCAGGAGGAGCCCCGAGACGGCGAGGGGATGGCTCCGAGACGGCCAAGAGGGACCCCCGTGGGGCCTCTCCAGGGATGATCCGACTTGCCCCAGCGCGGTCCAAGACGGGGCCTCCAGGAGGACGGCCAGGAGGGCCACAAGACGGCCAGGGGATGGGCTCCGAGACGGCCAGGATGGGCCCCAAGACGGCCAAGATGGGCTCCCAGGCGGTCCGAGGTGGCCTCCAGGACGGCCGGGAGGGCCCAGGAGGAGCCCCGAGACGGCGAGGGGATGGGCCCCGAGACGGCCAAGAGGGACCCCCGTGGGGCCTCTCCAGGGATGATCCGACTTGCCCTCCCGAGGCGGCCAGAGGGCGGCCCTGTGTGTGGCCCCGGGGCGACGGCGGCAGAGAGCGGGCGGGCCCCAGGGGGGGGGTCCCCGCTGCGCACTCCCCCCCCCCCCCCCCCCCCCCCCCCCCCCCTCCGCGCATCGCCCCGTCTGTGCACGTCGCCTAGCCTTACTCGGGAGCCTTGAGACGGGGGTCAGTAAACAAACGGGGGTCAGCCGGAGCGCCAGATCTTGCAGGATTCTGCAGGGCCAGGGTCGCACTGACCCGGGTTTGGGTGTAGGATCCTGCAGGATCTTGCAGGATCCTTCGCATTGACCTGGGTTCGGGTGCAGGTTCTTTGAGGATCTTGCAGGCTTATGCAAGGCCTGATTGACCCAGGTCTGGATTGACCTCGGTCTGTGCGTCCCCGACTTACGTCGGGCCCGTCCCTCTACATGAGGAATCTTCAAAGATAGTCAGAAAACATCGTCAGGGGACGATTTTTGGTTTATTTAGTGAGAATTTGCTTTGCTA